TGGTATTTATCCCACGTAAGCAAGGCTGTCAGCATTTTAAAAAATCAATAAATTGGACATACTACACAAACTGCAAAAATGTTAAATGGTTACATCAACTTTTGTAAAAGATATTTGGCATAAAAAAACTGAGCAAACAAGAAACAGAAGAGAAATTCCTCATCTAGATAAAGAATATCTACCAAAACCAACTTTAATAGTGAAATTGGACAGTTTTCCCTCAAGTTGGGGAAAGGGGGGAAGTGTCTTTTTCTCACCACTACTTTTCAATATTATGGTGGAATTACTAGACAGTGCAGTAACACAAAGAAAGGATACAAAATGCATACATATTGGGAAGGAAGACATAAAACTGCTAGCAAATGTCATTATTGCATGTATAGAAAATTCAAAAGTACATCATAAGTACCCCTGGAACAATGTTAGTGTAGCAAAGTGGCGAATTACATGTACAATTTAATTGTTGTTCCATGTATGGGTAAGAGCTAGGATTTGAAATTTAAAAACAAAATTAAGCATCATTTAAAATTGCATCAGGTTAAAAAGCAAATCCCAATCGGTGTCTTTTAACTGGACAGTTCAGGCCATTAACGTTCAATGTGACTAATGAAAAGTGGTAACTTTGCCCTGCCATTTGCCAAAGATAAGTTCTAATATATGCTTTGAATTCCCTGTGATCTTTTGCTGTGAGGTTTCCTTCCTTTATCTTCTTTCATACTGATGACTGTGTTTCTGTGTTTCTGTGTGTAACACATCTTTAAGCATCTGTTGCAGGGCTGGACGAGTGGCGACAAATTCTTTCAATTTCTGTTTGTTATGAAACGTCTTTATTTCACCTTCATTCACAAATGATAGCTTTGCAGGATATAATATTCTGGGCTGGCAGTTTTTCTCTCTTAGTACCTGGGCTATATCTCGCCATTCCCTTCTAGCTTGTAGAGTTTCTGATGAGAAGTCAGCAGTGAGTCTGATTGGCAATCCTCTGAAAGTAATCTGACGTTTCTCTCTTGCACATTTTAGGATCTTTTCTTTATGTTTCACTGTGGAGAGTTTAATTACAACGTGTCGTGGTGAGGATCTCTTTTGGTCGTGTTTATTAGGGGTTCTGTGAGCTTCCTGTACTAGGATTTCTCTGTCCTTCTCCAAACCTGGGAAATTTTCTGCTAATATCTCACTAAAAAGGCCTTCTAATCCTTTCTCCCTCTCCATGCCTTCAGGAACTCCTAGAACCCGAATGTTGGGTTTTTTAATAGTATCCTGAAGATTCCTGACAATATGTTTTAGATTTCTAATTTCCTCTTTTTTTCTTTGATCTGACTGTATCCTTTCCTGTTCTCTCTCTTCTAAGTCCGATATTCTCTCTTCTGCTTCACCCATTCTGTTTGTAAGGCTCTCTATTGTGTTTTTCATTTGATCTATTGAATTCTTCACTTCAGTCACTATCACAGTTTCCTGTTGTACTAATTGTTTCGTTTCATTTTGATTCCTCCTTAATATTTCATTTTCACGAGAGAGATTTTCTATCTTGTCCATTAAGGCTTTATGTAGTTCAAGAATTTGTTTTTGAGAACTTCTTAATGTTCTTATCAATTTTTCGAGATCTGCTTCTTGCATTTCTTCTATGTCATCATCTTCATAATCTTGAATTGGGGTGTCTTTTTCATTTGAGGGCGTCATGGTGACTTCCTTGTTTTTATTACCTCGGTTTTTGCATTTGTTATTTGGCATATTGGAGATATTTGGTTTCTTCACTGTGGTGCTTTTTCTTGTTATACTATGACTCTAGATTAAGTGGACTATCTGTTTTTGATGGAGCCTTAGGGCTTGAGATGGGTGTGGCCTGAGAGCTCTGTTTGGTGTCCCAAAGGTGACACTCCCAGGTTAGGAGTGGTAAATCTCTCTTTCTCTCTCTTTCTTTTTTTGATTCAAAAGGGAAGTAATTCCGCACAGCTGAACGAAGTTGGAGGTAGTTAGCAGGCAAATGATATACCCACAGGAGCCAGAGATCGGAAGCTCTTTCCCAAGGACCACACAGGGAATCTGTTTGGCCCTCAGAGTGGGTTCAAATTCTCCTTCAGTCTCCCACTGGGTTGCCAAAGTTACGGAATTGTAGCGTCTCTGGAGAGTACTCAGGTGAATTCCGTGAGTTCTCTCCCCCACCGTCTCTTTTTTCACAGTCTCAGTTCAGTAGCACCACAAATTTACTAGGTCCTAATCTCCTGTTAATTCGCCCCGCCCAGAGTCAGGTTTTTCTGCTAGGCTCAGGGCCGGTGCAGACCTGAGGTCGCTCTGCTTATGACGTATGTCCAAGATGGCGCCTGCTCTTTGTCTTGCTCGCCCTTGAGAGGTGAGCAGAGAGAGAGAAACCCGTGTCCGTACCAGTCACCTTTTTTTTTTTCTCTCTCTCTCTCTCTTCCAGTTAGCCTGGTGAACTTTTCCCCCCCGGGGGTCGTTCCCTCTAGTCTCCTCTCTCTGCTTGCCTGCCGGTGTCTCGGGCTATTGAGGTTCGGCTCACCTTGTGTTCCAGCGCTGGTGTGTTGAGTCTGCCGCTGGTGTCCTGAACTGTGGGCTCCCACGCTCTCCACACAGGTCCGCTGTGAATCACGCGTTCTGGAAGAGTTTCTTCTGCTGTTTCCTCCCCTACTCTTCCTTGAACCTGCAGTATCTCCACTTTTATTAAACTATCTCTCCCCGGACTATCAGTGTGCTCCCTTCCTATTCCGCCATCTTGCCTCTCCCCCCGGAATCTCTTTTTAGACATGTTTTTCCTGATAGCACCCCCTACAAACACACACACACACACACACACACATACACACTTCCAATACCATTTTATGTCTCATTATGTACTGTGATGCATACCTGTGTTTTATATATAAAAATACGAATAGGTTTTTTCACCTCCCAAGAGACAATTTTAATTCCTTGGGGTGATACCAACCCCACTGAGGTTGAGAATGTACAAAGTAGACTGAGAGCTAAAAATCCAAGTGAGCTGGGACAGACATTTTCATGGCACCTTGCTTAGTGCTTTAAACAGAATATAGTAGTAAATGTTTGCTGAGCAAGGACAAGAAGGAGACAAATACATTATCTGGTGAGGGTGGAAAATAGACACGCCATTGACCAAAATGGAAAGAGTCCTTATCAGGAAATTGTGAGAGAAAGAGCATTCAAGAAACATTTTTCTGAGCCACTGAGTTTATTGGTCTTGTTCATTGCTGAACATTGAATACAACTGTTCCTGTTATATTCTTAGGCATTCGGTACATATTTTATTAATGAATAAATTAATTCTCCAGAATGACTGCTATTTGAATGACTTAAGGTTGTTAAATCACCTGAAAATGGAAGAATTAATTTTGTCTAGTTCAATTAAGAATAAATCTGCTTCCCTATTTCCAACTTTAAATCCTCCAATTTGCCAAAGAGGTTTGGAGTTCAACTGTCAAGAAATTCTTCTTACTCGTTTCTATATCATTCAAGATAGGAGTGACGCTCTTGTGGGTACCAAAGGCCGGAATTATAAAGTCAGGGGGAACAAAGCAAGGTTATTTCAGTCTATTTTGGTTTTCTGGTTTGCTTGTCTCCACCTTCTAGATTTTTAAGCACCTTCAGACAGGCAATGTGTAGGCCCAGTTGAAATCTAGCAAACATTTATTGAACACATGTACAAATTAGTCAAGCTGCCTGCCCTACAGGACTGACAATCTAGTATGACATTTATATTAACACATTGTTAAACCTTGGTCCTGCTGGACCTGCCCGATGGGGAAGGTATACCCATCACGTGGAGACTGTTTCCAAGCATAGGAAGCAGAGTGGTGCACTTTCGTTGGAGGGAAGATCCTACTTCAGTGAATTGTGGGTCACGACATTTCAGAGGTAATAATTATGCTGAGTGAAAAGAGACCAGACGAAAAGGGGAGGGGAGGGGAGGAGAGGGGAGGGGAGGGGAGGGGAGGGGAGGGAAAGGGTGCATATTGTGTGCCTTCTATCCGCGGGATGCACTTCAGCAGGTTCGAAACCATTCTATTTGAGCGACGTGCGCACTGGCAGATTTTGGTATCTGGGGTGCGTGGTAGTCCCGAGACGTCCATGCAGGAGGGACCTCTGTAATTGCTAAGGGCGCGACGGGGAGGGACAGGCTGGAGGGGCTATCAGGGGCCGAAGGAAACCTAGGGGCGCTGTCTGTTCACCATCTTGGTTGTGGAGATAACTTCTCGGCTACACCGCGTATGTGAAGCCTATGGTGTGTTTATTCTTCAATAAAACCGTTGTCAAAAAACACCGCAGAGGGTCAGATTAGGACTTTGGGAGCAGAAAGGCCACGTGTGAAAAGCCAATGTTTTCAGAAAAACTGAGTGCAGACTACAGGAAGTGTACTACGTAGTACACTTTTCGCTGATAGCCATTTCGGGCCCTTGTGATGCAAAGGAAATGGAGAGACTGACGCGTGTTTTGAGACCAGGGGTTGAGCTCCGGGAGTCTCCTGCTCAGGTGTTGGTCTGCGATCTCTGGGGGGAAAAACGTGGTCCTGTCTTTAAATCGGGAAGAACGGTTACTGGCAGACACGGGAGAAGCTAGGGCAAGAACATGATTAGGGCAAGAAGATGATGGTGCCCTTGGGACGAGGAGAAAGCAGTAAATACAAGCCTCTTCCCTCCTGGGGCCACAAGAGAGGCTGGGAAAAAGCGCGCAGGCGGAGACCACGCGCCACTCCAGGCTGCACCCCGGGGCCCTGGAACCTTAACCCTCAGCCAAGGCTGCCCCAGGTTCCGCTCGGCGAAGTCAGGCAGATGTTTGAGTCAGATCCGCCTCCGGATCCAGGGAGGACCGGGAGGGAGCCGCAGGCACCTCAGGCAACCCGGGGCTGCGGGGAAGTCAGTGTCGGCTCCCGGCGCGTGCGCACGGCGCGCGGGGAGGCAGCCTGGAAGGGAGGGAGCGCGCGCCCTTCACGTGACCCGCCCCGCGGGCGGCGACGCACACGACGCGCCCCTCACGTGGTCTGTCTTCAGCCCCGTCGCCGGCGGAGGCGGGCGCGGGCGCGTCCCTGTGGCCAGTCACCCGGAGGAGTTGGTCGCACAATTATGAAAGACTCGGCTTCTGCTGCTAGCGCCGGATCTGAGTTAGTTCTGAGAAGGTTTCCCTGGGCTGTCCTTGTCCGGCGGCCTCTGCTGCCGCCTCCGGAGACGCTTCCCGATAGATGGCTACAGGCCGCGGAGGAGGAGGAGGTGGAGTTGCTGCCCTTCCGGAGTCCGCCCCGTGAGGAGAATGGTACTGGACCCACGCAGGCCCGGGCTCGGGGGTTGCGGGCGGGCAAGGGGAGGACCCGGCAGGCTAGCGTGTGCGGGAGTCCCGTGCCTAGGGGCGAAGGACTCCCCCCCCCCCCTTCGGATTGCCTGCAGGCTTCCCGGAGTTGCCGTGGCGGGACGTGTGTGCAGGGTGTTCGCGGGCGAGGGGCGGGAGGCAGGTGGCAACGCCGGCGCGACAGCTCGCCGCGGGAATCCCCGGGGCTGCGACCCGGCTCCCGCGAGGGCCTCTCGAGGAGGCAGAGGCGCGAGCCGGGGACTACCTGGCTGGGGCTGAGCGGCCGCAGCGCGCCAGGCGCAGCGCTCAGCTTCCAAGCTCCGCATCTCCCGGGAGCGCGGTCCTCCTGGCGCCAGTTGTTGGCAGATAAGGGAGCCAAATGCTCTGCTCAAGTTCATCGTGGAAGGGGAGGGCGGGCTGGGAGGGAACAAAAAAGGGGGTAAAGGACACGGGTTTGGAGCTGTGCCTTGTTTGCTGTGCCGCGGATACTCTACAGGTACGCTTTCTTTCTGGAGCCAGAGGGGAGGGATTTGATGCTGACGGTAGATCTGGTTTGGAATTTTCTTTAAGGGCGAATGAAAGAGATGTTTGCGGAAGGGGCGCTGCTTATGTGGGCCCGGGGCGCTGCGCTATCGGGATTCAAGTGGAACTGCCTATCGGTTTTCCTAGAGAAAGGTTGCCGTGCGTTAAGCCAAAGGTGCGGGGGGAGGGAGAAGAGGCGGTGCATTGCAGCTTTTGATTGAGCTAAAAAAAAAAAAAAAATTAAGGCCGAGAACCGAATGTGAAGATTTCTTACAAAGAAAGTCACTTAGATTGGAAACCTGAAGAGCAGAATAGGTATTTGTGGTTAGTCCTTGAACTTGATAGGCTTTATGCAAACAACTGTCCCTCTGCTGGAGTCTGGCAGGTTTACTTTTATCTAGAAGCTGACTCAAGTGCCATTCAAAACTGAAACCAGAGTTTCGACTAACACCACGGATGTAGTTATACTTTGAATAAAGAGTGTATCTTCTGTGTTCACCCTTGATTGCTAATGTAAACTCATTAAAAGCATCATTTTACCTATTTCCTAATTTTTAAAAGAAAGGGTTATCAAGTCCCTTTACTAGCGCTAATTTTTTCTTAAGTCACTTAAATTGGTGTAGGGAGGGGATGTTGAAAAAAACAAAAACAGGCTATCCATATTGACTACTCATTCAGGAATTCATGTACTTTTCTCTCTGACTTAAAAATTCGCTGAAGTATGTGTGTCTACATTGTATGATTCTTACTGTAGACTGTTTTTGAGGTATGTCCTCTTGGTAATCAGTCTCTGCTTTGACACCATATAAATTGTTTTCTGAGTTTTGAAAAGCTTTAATCAGCCGACTAAAGAACAATACTAAACAAACAAAATACCAAGACATACATGTTAAACTGGAAAAGGATAAAATTTTGTAACATGGCTGCTGGAATTTTTTTTTAAAGATTTTTAAATTTATTTTCCTTGAAAGAGTTACACAGAGAGAGAAGGAGAGGTAGAGAAAGAGAGAGAGAGAGGTCTTCCATCCGATGGTTCACTCCCCAGATGGCCGCAATGGCCGGAGCTGTGCCGATCCGGAGCCAGGAGCCAGGAGCTTCTTCCGGGTCTCCCACATGGGTGCAGAGGCCCAAGGACTTGGGCCATTTTCTACTGCTTTCCCAGGCCATAGCAGAGAGCTGGATCAGAAGAGGAGCAGCCGGGACTTGAATGGGTGCCCATATGGGCCCTTCAGGCCAGGGCGTTAACCCTCCTGCCCGCGAATTTTTGTTTTATTTAGAAATCAGTTATCTAGTGATATACTTCCAACACTGTGATAGGCACTGGTGAGGCAAAGATGTATTAGACAAGCTTACTTTTAAACAGCTTGTATTTTTTTTTTTTTTTGTAAAGGTTTATTTACTTATTTGAAAGGTAGAGTTGCAGAGAGAGAAGGAGAAAGGTCTTCCATCCACTGGTTCACTCTTCAAATGACTGCAAAGGCCAGAGCTGAGCTGATCCAGAGCCAGTAGCTTCTTCTGGGTCTTCCATGCTGGTACAGGGGCCCAGGTTGCAGCAGAGAGCTAGATTGGAAATGGAGCACCTAGGACTCAAACCGGGGCCCATACGGGGATGCCAGCATAGCAGGTGGTGGCTTTACCCACTATGCCACAGCGCCAGCCCCAAACAGCTTGTATTCTAGTAATTTATGAAAGATCTTGATATCCACTGGAAGATACAAACATTACTTCATAAAACACACATATAGTATCTACTGTGTTTCAGGCCCTGTGATACTTAATAGCCTTCATGGGCAAAAAGCAAAAGGATAATATACTATTGCAGGGATTACTGTGCAAGTTTAGGGTAGTCAGGCAAAGAGAAAGTCTTGGTAGGCTTGAAAAAGAACAAATGGCAGAAGTGAGAGTTGAAGAGGTAATAAAAAGTTGGAACTAATTTGAAAGTAGAAGGAATAATGAATTTGTGGTTTAGTCTAATGGAGTGTTAGAAGAAAAGGGCATCCTTGGTTTCTTCTGGGAACTGTAATACCGTACATAAGTTTGGAATGAGTGGAGTGTGGGGTGATATAGAGTACTCATGGGAATATTATAAAGATATATGTGGGCCAGATTTCTAAAGTAGTGTATGTCGTGCAGAGGAGTTTGGAGATGATTGGGGATCCAGATAAGCAGGGTGAATTGGTGAAAAGGGGGAGATTGATAAGAAGGAGGCTGTTGCATAGTCTGACAAGTGAAATGACTAGTAGAAGAAGGAACAGATGGATATGTTTAGGAATTAAACTTTAGAACATGGTCACTTTTTTGAGTAATATCTCTGATGTTTGTGTCTGTGTAAATATTAGTAACAACTAGGCATAAAATGAAAATATGTGATTATTGAAGTCATTACTTAAAATATGGAGATATAGTAGTTGAAGACAGTATTTAAACTATGCATTTAACAACTTTTAGGTAAAGATATATTGAAATGAGCACTTATAAACTGAGTTCTATGAATCATAGATATTTTATCTAATTATCTTGATAACTTTTTTAGTGATTCATTCATTTATTTGAAAGGCAGAATTAGAGGGAGAGAGAGAGAGAGGCACAGAGAGGTCTTCCATCCACTGGTTCACTCCCCAAACTGCCACGATAGCCAGGAGCTACATCCAGATCTCCCATATGGGCAGCAGGGGCCCAAGCATTTGTTTTCCCAGGCACATTAGCAGGAAGCTGCATCAGAAGTGGAACAGCCAGGACTTAAACTGACACCTACAATGCTGGCCCATGATTTTATTATTATTATTTTTTTAAATATTCCCTTGAAAGGGAAAAAGACAGATAGATAGAGATCTCTCATTTGATGGTTCACTCCCGGATGCCTACAACAGCCCGTGCTAGGCCAGGGTGAAGTCAGGAATCTAGAATTCAATTTGGGTTTCCCATGTATGTGACGGATATCCAACTAGGACTTGAACTCAGGTGCACCAGAATGGGTTGCAGGCATTCCACCTGCTTTGCTAAATGCCTGCCCCTAATGTTCTTTCTTTAACGTTGTACTGTGGGAGATTTCAAACTTACAAAGATACCACGGTATACCTGTTGACCGGTTTTAAATGTGAATGTTGTTCTTTTTATTATCCTTGCTATTGCCCCTCAGCCGGATAATTTTTTAAAAATGATTTATTTATTTGAAAGGCAGAATTATAGAGGCAGAGAGAGAGGTCCTCCAACTGCTGGTTTACTCCCCAAATGGCCGCAATGGCCCGAGCTGGGCCGATCTGAAGCCAGGAGCCAAGAGCTTCTTCCAGGTCTCCCACGTAGGTGCAGGGGCCCTATTACTTGGGCCATCTTCTGCTTCTCCAGGCCATAGCAGAGAGAGTGGAGCAGCTGGGACTCAAACCAGCCCCCATATGGGATGTTGGCACTACAGGCAGCAGCCTCACCTACTGTGCCACAGCCCTGGCTCCTCAGCCGGATAGTTTTAATGAAGATTGCAGACATTTGTCATCTGTGGATACTGTATTTTGTGTACAAACGTGTCCTAAAAAGACGAGGACTCAGTATAATCACAGTACTCTTGGCACAGCTAAGATTAGCTTGTCCTTAAGCTTATTAAATATTCAGTGTATCTCCCTAATTGTCTCAAGTTTTTTTGTTCTTTTCAGTTGGTTTGCTGGAATTATGCTGCAAAGAATTCTGCACATAGTATTTGACTGATAACACTTTCTGTCTGTATGTATTACCTTATCCTTTGGTTTTGTATTGTCATTTACCATTTATTTGTTGAAAAACCCTGATTATTTGTCCTGTAGAATTTCCTATAGTTTGGATTTTGTTAAATGCATCCCTGAACTGTTATATAACATTTCTTTTTTTTTTAATCTAATGATTTAGTCAGATTGTAGTGTTATATTTTAGCAGTAGTACTAACAGGTAGAGCTATGCACTTTCTGTTGCATCTGTTTTCTCATGTTAAGATTGACCAGTGGATTCATGTTGTCAGCTGCTGATCTCTCACTTGTGAAGTTCCCCATCCATCATTGATGTAATAGTTAGGATAGTACCCATTAGTGATTTTTGCCATTCATCTCTTGAGTCTGGATTCCTCTTTCTCCTTTCTTTTTGGGAACCTTTCAATATATGAATTAATTGCACAGACTCTTTCTGTGTCTCTTTTACCTGAAGCAAAATTCAGAGTGATTGAGATTAATTTAGGCTATAAGCATCATTTAACTATGGAGATTTGAACTGAGTCACTGATGTTAATTGATAAAAGACTTAAATAGGTGTCACTTTTAGAAGATGCTTTGCTGTTATTAGATTAGTTTGAATGTGAATGCAGTGTTTACATATTTATGCTTCTCGTTTACATTTAAAATGATTAGTTTTAATTTGAATTAGTACTTTTAGTGATTTTTGTTGGCTCTTCTTCGGTTTAGTACCTTTTGGCTTTAGAAAATTGT